TTCTAATGTAAATCGAACATTTCGATAGAGAACATCATTTTAATATATTTTAAATATTTAAATGTTAATTATAGTAATATTTTAATATTTAATAGGAATTTTATTGTGATCAGACTGACAAGATTTAAACAAATATATATTTATCACAATATGACGCAACATTATCATCTCAAAAATCTGTATATTATAATGCAACACTCTCTTTCCGTACCACCTGGGTGTCCTCCGCTATGCAGTAACCTTGTGGGTGATTACCACAAATATCTAACTATTCTGTTCGGTGTCAGACTCAGTTACGCAATGAAGAATTTAACCGAATTAATTAGTATCATTGGTATACTTGTGTTAAAGATGATAATATGTTGTAAGCAGTAGATACATAGTTATGTTGACATAATCTGAAACAGGTCTTTTACCGTATCACAATTAACTTTATATTGTATAGGTCTAAATTTAAAACTTGACAGTACTGATATGTTCCGACGAACCTTATATTAACGTGTCCTTTTTTCAAATTAATCGGACTTCGAGTTTTGTGGTACATGTGCATAAAGTCTTTCCTTGTCATTCTGGTCAGAAAACCGGAAGGGAAAGACAATTTGAGAGACAATGTAAATATCTTGGATAAAGATCCATTGAGCTCCAGAGTCTATCTGGACACAAAAAGACTTACCTAAAATAATACTGAGGCTATACCCTATTGGCACTTGGCACCATGCTAATCCTGTAGTGAACATAACCTCAGCTGTGCCATTGATGTAGGCTCCTCCTACCCATGTTGCTGAAAGATGAATTATATTCAGAGGAATGCACAAATTTATAGAACTATTACACACGCAACTAAAACAATCACTTATACATTTGTTATAGGTATTAAATGTAATTCTCTTGAATTAGGTAGCATATACTTCGTTTCACTGTCTGTCATTTACTGCCTTTACAAGATCCTGAGACCTTACATTTTTCATGTCAATTAAATTACACCTGGGGTCAGAAGTCAAGCCATTCATTGAAAAAAAAGGCAAAGAAAGACACTGTTATGTTTAGTTTAAACAGATATTTAACTGAAAATACAAATGATGGTAGAAGAAGAAATAAAAGAAAAAAGAGAAAATGAATCACGAGGAAAAGGAGCAGAATTATCAGAAGAGGAAAGTTAGGAAAAAGGAGGATCAAAAATAAGAAACAACAGGATAAGAAGAAGGAAGAAGAGGAGGGATGGAATGATAATGATACACTGATAATAAAGTGAACATAACCTAACAAAATGACATAATTGTACCATAAACAATAACCTACAAAAAACATTTTGTTAAAAGACAAAATATATACAGCTCATCCAACAGATTAAGGATATGTAGTGTCAAAATTAACAAATAACCACTCACATATTTTAGCCACTGGCATCACAAGAACTGGATAACATAGATCCAGATACCAAATTACATCATGACATCCAAAAGTTCTAAAGATCCATCTGGTCCAATATTTATGTAATAAAGGCTGTAAATAAAACTTCTTGATCAGTCTATCCTTAATTTGGAATGAGACCACAAAATATTCAAATACGAACAATAACAACAATGAAGATAGCTGTCTTCTGGGTTCGGCAATTGCCCTGATGATGGAGACAGAAAGTAACTCTGAAACGTTGGTAAACGTCTACCAGACTACTCTGCGCTACAACCCAGAAGACAGCTAGCCATCATGAAAACCTCAAATCCTAATCAATAATAATAACAGGTGTGAAGATAAAAGAAATTTAGAAGAATAAGAAATGTTGTCATGCACCTATTAACGTGAGGAATCCTACAACGGTGCCGATGCTCCTGCCAGCCAACATGACTTCTTCTTCACCATGGTTTTTCTGCTTGGTGCCTGCCCAGATTCCAACCCCTAGCATCGCAATGTAGAAAACCACAATGCCAACAAGTCCCCAGACATAAATAGCCATTTTGCTAATTAGTCTTGTCCTGAAACATGCAGTTTTTCATCTGAACTGTCAGGAGAGGAAGAAATTACATGACGAAGAATTTTGTAATTCATGTAAGTTACTTATTAATGAAATCAAGCGAGATTCAAACAGGCTAACTATGTCGCTAAAGGATACAAGAAATTAATGTATACATTTCATTTTAAACTGTCTCTTAGATTGCACATAATGTTTTATACAATTTGTGCAAAGTGTTTATGCTAACCGTTATCTTCAACTTTAAATGTGAAAGAATATGTGTAATCCACATTCAAATCTACTGCCCAAAATATAAACTTTGATTCCTAGCAGCGATACTTGTAACTATCGATAACGTTTATAAAATCACGGTACACTCGACGGACACGCTGGTGTGTAACTTCTTCAAACGCCAATACCTCGAGACCTATGTAAGATAGAGAATATATAATTTCATGTAAATTAAAGAGTAAATAAACGGCTTTTTCTACATTATGTTTACTTTATTCTATAATGCATATTTTACACATTGTTGAAATAATTACCCGAAACATGTAATAACTATTCCCTCGTTCCTTAACTTCAACCGCTTGCCACGTCTAAAGCGTAAGAGTTAGATCTGGACATATTGCGAGTGAAATACGTAAATAAACACGAGCTTTTCAAATTTGCAAACAGATTTCAGCTAACTCTTACGGTTTAGGAGTTTTGGCCATTTATTTGTTAACAAAGAACGGTTCTAGAGTGAGTGTGTTGAGTACATGACACAATGCATAGATAAGCTGTCGGCGGATGACGTCACGTATAGATAAGATGTAAAGGTATACATTTATATGTAAATAAAATTTTATTTCAGTACAAATATACTTCTACAGTTAAACGTTATTCAACGTTAACTAGAGAACCGTGGTTCCACTGTCAATTGTTTTTTTTTGGGGGGGGGGGGGAGGATTTCACAAGCAGCGTGCACGGCAATGGTTTTATTATGAATTTCTCCTTGAGTCTTGGAGACAGCATAACCACTACACTCGATATCCTTGATATAAAGCCTGAAGCAAATATCCAAGTTCGTTTTCCTCTTCTCGGGGTTTTCGTAACTGAACTTCGTAGAAACACTGTTGCAGACCAGATACATGTAGCAGTAACTTCCTTATTCACTTCATCGATAATTTATACAACCCGAAGTTTCGACACAAGGAAACACCGACTATCATATCGAATCGATTAGCTAACTCCAGTACGCGTAATTATTCTGTTGTACTTGATACGTCGCCTGTTTTTATCTAACCCTTTTCATCCGAAGTTTGTCTAAATAATATTTAAAAATTCAGTCCAGACCGAAAAGAAAACAAGACTCTTCACCATTAGAAAGATCGCCTAGTTGATGCTGTTTACACTGGGAATTATATGAAATCCATAAATATAAAATGAGGAGATATACATTTGTAATCAATTCACAGTTGAGATGTGTGCATATTTTTACAGAGTTTACCTCCGGGGGCTTCCCCGGTTTCTCCGTGGCATCCCAACAATTACTCCATTCACACACAGAAGAAGGCAATGGCAAACCACTTCTAAATCATCTGCCAAGAACGTATATGAACAGGTCCCAGTCCGAGAAAAGGATGGAAGGATCCTGTTCATATGGACCTGTCGTCAGACAGAACACTAAATAATAATAATAATAATAATAATAATAATAATAATAATAAAAATCATATTTTGTATTCAATATTTAATGTATTTTGCCTTTATCTATGACATATCCAATATCAGAATATATTGATTTACTTGACAAATGAATGAATGGACTCTCAGGTTGAAAGGAATATAGTTAACAATGGGCCTAGTGTTATTTTATGAGCCCCAGACCTGGAAACACGAATGACATGCCGACGTGCGGATCACAAAAGTCACTTTAAGTAGTAGAATTGTTTTGTTACCTCTCATTGTCCAATTTCATTGTTTCAGGACCTTGAATCTAATTTACCTTTTTCATTGTGTGGGAGATTCTGCAGGAAAGAATACAGGAATCAATGTTTTTCGAAAGAGAAGGTGACATTATAAGAATTGGTGTTTACAGTTACGGTTGATAACTAACTGGCAGGTTTTTAGGTCGGATTATCTGGTTTCTGTATGAAATGTAGGCATGTCGGGAAATATTTACTCAGTTAATTACCGGAATAATTAGTCAACACTTTTTAAGTTAAATGAATTCTTTCGGTTTGTTTAATCTCATTGCTGGCCACTGTAATATGCACATATTACACAACGCTACCAAACATGGACTAAAATTACTATCGTTTGATATTGAAATGTTTACTAAATTATTATCCAGTGTAAAGAAAATTGATGGATTTTATTTCAAATCACAACAATAATTTTTAATGCTTGAAAATTGCTGATGAATCTTATCTCAATGATTTCCAGATGGGGGGGGGGGGGGGGGGGTAATTACGTACTGCTTCCTGTGTTACGTCACCCATACTTCTAGTTAATTGAACTCGGTATATATGGCTGTTCAGCGTCGACTGACTCATGATCAAGTACAGTAAACTAACGATAAGAAGCATTATTTTATTTTTTTAAAAGCAGGAATCACAAACGTGGAAACTAAATTAACGTAAGACATCGATAAAACATCACACATTTCCACAATCTTCACTCACAACCAATATTCGCATTTTTCCAATGTTCTTTAACGCGCATTGTACTCGAAGCATAAACGTGTTTTACCTCAAAATATCTTGCCTTCCACGACGTCTAATTACATCCTATTTCTTTAATCACTTCTTGTCCTCTTTAACTTTGCACTGTAGGCCTGTGTTTTAATTAGCACTGTTAATATTAAAGTAATAACCGTTCACTATAATACGGTCAGTTGAAATTCAAAGGTGAATATAAAAATGGCTGCCTGCTGGGTCGTTGCGCTGTGTAGTATGACTAAAGTTTACCGACGTTTCAGAGGTGCTTACTGCCTCGACCATCAACGTGATTCCTAATGATGGAAGCAGCAAGCACTACTAAAACGTCGGTAAACATCTGTCAGACAACACGGAGAAACAACGGGCATATGTAACTCGTCCAAACATCTAAATTCGTTTCTTCTGCACGGTAACTTAAAGGTCAATGAAACATGTTTTGTTTATGTTATATGAACTAGTTTCTAGAGGAGGTCAGGGTTACTTATAATCAGATGTGACGTGAATTAGCAACCGTACGGAAAAAAGGTTCGTATTAACTAAGAGAAACTTTGGGAGTTCCAGGTCATTAGGTTATGGCAATCGAGGGAAACCGTTGGTACTTGTTCCAAACACATCGTCCAAATCTGAAGATTTATGTTTATCTGAAACTCTGCACTCGAATTCCGGTAGAAGCCTTTTTTAATCCATAAGTCCAGACCGGTTATGTGTTCGATCCAGTCTACAATTATATGGATACAAAAAGCTTTATCTCCAGGGCAGTAGCAGACGGAGAATGAAGCTAGAAGCTCACACGACTTCGGAATTAGCCAATGCGAAGAGAGAAGAGCACAATTTTTTTGTTATTTTGGAGAACACTGATATAATATAAGCGTAAGGGAAAATCCCCGCAAAAATATTGTAATAAGACATATCTGGAGATGCAAAGTTTACAATCGCGTTATTGCACAAAAATGCACTGCTCCATTCTTAAATTTAAATTTAACAAAACAATATTAAAATTATTGTAATATTAATAACTGGCGTTTTATAAACTTAACAATGAAATTAAACTAAAACTATTTAAAAGCTAGTAAACATCTTTAAAGTAAATGTCAGTTGTACACTTTAAGTTAAATAAAAAACAGTTTCGCTTCCTGCCCAAACCATTATTTTTTCTTTCTGCGGGAGGCGACAAAGATACGAACAGCCAGTGCCAATTAGCAGTAACGAAAAGTTTGCCGAAAACTGGTTTAATATATATATATATATATATATATTATTGAGTGTTCTGTCTGACGAGAGGTCCATTCTTCTGCCCAAAAAGAGCTCACCAGTTTTCCCTATTCTCAGCTTCTCGTTTTAAATCCTGAAACTTCATCTTTCCTTGTTTCAGATCGTCGGTTAGCTGTATCCGCCTTCTTCCCAGTCCTCGCTTTCCTTCAACCTGGCCTTCGATGCTATCGCTCAGCAATCCATTCCTTATCATAATATGTCCCAGATACATATATCACGTAACAAACGTATCTTTTTTTTAGAAAACGGGCCTATCTTAATGACATGTTGGCCCTCTTACGCCGCAATAAAACAAGTTTTTCGGTAAGTAACTCGTGGTAAATTCTTACACGTGTCAAGCCCAATACCTCTGCTTCTAACTAGCAATAGCAAAACAAGGCTAACACACGTTATATAGTCGTAATTTTCAGCGGGTGGTTTGAGACATCACTCGAATGGATAGTAACAAGAAACATCCTTCACGAGACCAGTTTTCACACGCCATGTTATTATCTTAGTCAACCGTGGAACGGTAAGCAGCATTCCTTCGAAAAAGCGACAGGTGACATTAGAATTTGAAGATGGCTGTCTTCTGGGTTGTAGCGACTTGTAGTCTGGTAGAAGTTTACCAACATTTCAGAGGTCATCAGGACGATAAGAGCAACTAACATTAGAATTTAGTCAGGGATTCACATATTGCGCAAACACATAGATAATAGTAAATAAAGTGGAAAAGTATTAAAATACAGAGACGTACTGATTGAGACACAGCGCATTTGGAATCTGAAGGCAAAGAAAATAAATAAAATCACTGGGGCGACTGGACGTGCATTCAAATCACATTCATAGTAGACACTCCAGCGTGAGCTACAAAAGACAACCATTCTGGGAACAGAACATATCTTGAGGAAAGTTTCACTGCAGCATTTAAGAATGTCAAACGTATTTTTCAGAAGCTACAGGGGCAAATCTTTACCTCGACTCATGAATAGATAGTATATTCTGTAATAGAATTATAAACTAACAGGAATAAATTAATTACAGTTCTAATACCAAAATATCTCGTTAAGACACCTGATATACGGAAGATGTCAAAACATACCAAGAACTGGTTTCAAAAGAAGGAACTTTAGAAAAGAATTTTTTTAGTAATGTTTTAAACAATTCTTGATAACCACCGTTTTTAACCTGTAAGTCATATAATTCAGTTATAAAAATGCAACATTTGCTTAATAATAAATACGAGAGACCGTCATTAGATAATAATGACAACACTAATCATGTAACCCTTAAATTTCTCATTTGATAGATTAGCTTATCTATTAATAAAACTGCTGTACTCCACAAGGTCAACAAACTTCACATTTTATGTCACGTAAGTGAGAGATTCAGCATCTGTAAATACGGTGTTTATATGTGGAGTTCCGAATGAAAGAACAAGAAACCATTACTTCAGTTTACTGCATCAATAATACATTTACCTGCATCAAAATCCAAAAATATTGTCATTACAGAGAACTGCAATGTGAATTTAGTACATACGGGTCATACATAGCAAACCAGTTACGTAACTCCCACAGTTACTTTGTAAACAAAATTTAAACAAAGACCACACTGTTTTTCCCTATCATATTGTATAACAAACAAGCAATTTGTCACTTGGCGACTTTCATTGTTATGTATGCCGGACTCTACAGTGATGTTCAAAAAATTACGTTTGGGTTACTGAAAATAAGAAACTGGATTTTAAATTAGACCTTCCAGAGGTCAAAAACTCTAAATAACTAGCCATTTAAATATGATTTTACCCTATTCCCAACACCACATTTCTGTACGATACATTTTAATAATGGATAACACTAATCTTGCTCAACTTGGTAAACGCCAGACTACAGTGGACGCAAAGTAATTCCAAGGTTAGATAACCGTCACGGTTCACGAAAGGTATTGAAAGTCCGCGAAGCGATAGCACATGACTGAGATATATTTCTGTCCTACAGTGCGCGTATGGGTTAAAAACATGTCTGCTTTGTTATTCGTATTATTTTGGTTCACAAAGTACAGTTTTGTGTAAAAATCTGTGTATAAAATTCCACTGTCTGCGTGCACAAAAATGTTTTCAGTTATATTATTCTCAAAATCTGCACCATAGTCTCGAAAGTGATATATTCTCAAAAGATTTTTCCCATTAAAATATTGTATTCATTTAATTTCTTCCCCATCCGTGCTACATGCCATAATTTCCCTTGATTTTATCACCCTAACATCATTTTGTAAAGAGCACATATTATGAAGAAGCTGATTGTGTAATTTTCTTCGCAGTCTTGTTACGTCACATTTTTTTTATAACGTTCATTAAGAGTTTATTATCCATCGGGGAAATACCATCTTCCCTTATTACACAAAATAAAAATAGACAGAACAGAAGAAAATTGTCTGTGGTTCAGTGTTGCATTAAAACGCTTAGTTATGTAACGTGGAAAATATGCAGTTTGGATTCCTTGTGACTATTTATGCATTGCCACGTGTACTACAAGAATCTCATAATCGACGATGTAATATCCTGTTGTTGATCGCAACGTCTGAAGCACATTCTTCACGAAGTAAATACGCAGCCGATTACAAAGATTCACACGTTGTGCAACAAAAGTCCAAAACCTAACCTAACCTTACAGCGTACAGCTAGTTTACTTTTCTTTATTTAGATTTATTTTTGCCTGATTAGACGAAAAACATAAAATAATATTAATAAATTATCTGACACGTGTGACTAGGTTTGACGGCAAAGCAAATGTAAATACATCCATATCTGCTGGAAGACAAGTGGTTATCGCAGGAGTTGATAAGGTCAGATTCAATTTCGAGTTTTAATATCGATCTATTTTTGATGCATTCGCTATATCGCACAGAATATTAATTTAAACTGCTCAGATGTATATTAATCAACTACGTGTTTTAAGATTTCTGTGTGGTTCTCTTGCAAGGGATAATTGGAGATTGGTATCGAAATATCCTGAATTTAATATTGAAAACAGAATTTCTATTGTCTGCAAAACAAACAGTTCTCTAACTTCAGTTAACCAGCAAACAGCTGTAGTCAATGTTATCATTCACATTAACAGTCAGTCCTACAGCACTGGCAAAGCTACAAGATTAAGGAATAATGTATTTATTTGTTCACTGGCATTCTAATACGAAGGTTCCGCGTTCTAATCTGAGTGAGAACATTTTATTTGCAGAAAATACGTATTTCGGAAACGTTTATTTTTTTCTTAAGTAAACTGCTTACTACTCGCTCACAATATTCAGTACTGGGATAACACAAATATGTGAAGCTGTCCCGCTACACGCCATGTAGGCGCTTGGGGGGAGAGCTGGCACTGGAGGGGGGTGAGTGGTCAGCATCATGCTCCGACCGTGCTTTACCCCCGGGAAAGGACCCCGGTACCCATTGGATAGGAGGCTAGGTGGGCCCCAGAACCGGTCTGGATGCAGGGGCTAGAGGAAAAATCCTTAGACCCTGTCGGGGATCGAACCCCGTTTGCCCAGTCCGTAGTACATAATAATTTAATGCCTGACATTATGGATGCTTCATTCTGATATTAGATATGTTTGTAATCTACTACCAAAATGAAGTTCTGTTCGTATCCATAATGTCAGGCTTTGGAATAATTATCGAAGATTATACTGTTAAACAACGTCAGTTGCCTTGGGCACTTGTCATCAAATTAAAATGTTTCTGTCATCCAGTATTTTTATCACGATGTATTGAAGCTTTTTCCCCTAAGTTTGGTAAAATATATTATAAAAGAGACCACTTGCTGTTAATGCTTATTTATAATTTCCACGAATATACTTCACGGAGGCGAGGTAGCTGAGTCAGTACAGAGCCTGGAAGACCAGGGTTCGGTTTTCGACGGAGAGAGTAATTTTTATTTTCGCCACCGTGTCGAGATTGCCCATCGAACCTCACTTAACGGGTACAGGGGCTTTTCACTAGAGTACAAAAATCCGGGTGTTCAAGTTGAGTATTCAACTCCGTGTTTACTGTCGAGATTAAATCATATGGAGGTACACCTCAACTCCCCTATGTGGTGCTTATGTAAACTGTAATACACCATTTCTTTGCTTAGTACACAGGAACAGCTTTACATTTCATCAAACACTTCACGATAAACTAAAAATTAAAACTAAAGCATCACTGTCTACTTTTGTTCGCCATATAGGATGAGTATCTTTTGATGAAAGCGTTTGGTAAATGACAAGAAGTGGTTCAGATTTTCAGCATAATGTACGAGTAACGAATAAGCCAACAAATTATCCGTTACGTATCTATAATCTTATGTCTGAACAAATTGTTTTAAGGTATTTATACTAATAGATCACTCGTAAGCAATCTTAGGACAACGACACAATCAGAATTGGCTCCCGTAAAGCTCCCACCTCACAAATTCGTGAGTTAGTCGTCAGTGTTACCATTAGATTAAATGTAGGAAATTAAAAGGTTTGAGGCCAGGTCGTGCTCCATTGGCAAAGCTGAAGTTCATTCAGTGTTCCGTAAAATCCGTAGTTAGTTCAAAGTTGGAATGAGGACACATTGACAGCTTCTTCATATCATAAAACTACTGCAAGCTTTAAAAATACTGTACTTGAATTCAGGTCAAAGCAGCAAACATCTGACCTCCGTCGTACAAAGGCGTCACATTAATAGCTAGTACACGGATACGTTCATATTGAGTGGCGGTGGAATGTAACGGATTTACCTGTACTGTTACCAACGAAAAAATAATAAATACATGGAAAACAACTAACGAAAACTTTACTGGAAATATTCATACTAATAAACTCCAAAGACTAAATTCCCTACAAAAAAAGTTTAAGAAACCATATGCAAACGTTTGGGGACATAACAATAAATGTAATACCAAAATCGAACCAAACTCGACATTTCATGAACGAATATATTGAAAATCACATACACTTCGTTCTTCAAAGCACTGTAGTGATTATACATACCAACTGTTTTAACATTTAACAACTCTGAATTTCTTAAACTGTGTGTATTGATGCATTTAACACAAGTCTCGCAACAAACAGCGATTATTTACTTAAACACCATTAACCAATTTTTCTCTTCAATGGTAGAACTTTGTCTTCTTTGAGGTAGAAGCTTAACTTTTAAATTCAACCGAACTTTTAATTATTTAAATAAGCTCCGTGCTCTAAAGCGTTAATTTGAATGATAAAGCTATTAAAAAAATAACTTACAAACCTTCCTGAAGAAAGATAACACTAACACTTTTGGTCCATGTAGTTTCGGCTGTGAGCGTCTGTGGATTGTGATGGTACTTCTACTGCTGCTAGGCTTAAACCACTATAACCTTGTCCTAGGACCCACATTCACATCCACTGGTTCCCGAGGACACTAGTCGGCAGGTAAAATACCGGCGTATACACGGGCTGATGTCACGCGTGTGTGTAACAACAGTAAACCCCAATCACAACTATCGTTATAACCGTGACCAGAGGGCGTATGAGTGAAATGTGTTCCACAGGAGACAGAACTATACAATTGCGATGTTTGAACTGAATTGTACTGACAGCAAACCACTGATGTTGCAACACTGTTAACCATTACCAGTCGTTCGCTTGAAACAATTAAAACACTTTAAAACTTACATTATCTACTCAAAATCTAAAGTACAGGCACTTGTAATCATTCATTGGAAACACTAACAACACTAACTACGAGGTGCGATCGGAAAGTTTCCAGACTGCGCGTATAAAAACCCGTACACTTATCTCAGGTATTAAATTCATCCATCACCCTCGAAGTAGTTCCCCTGGGAGTGAACACAACGATCCC